CTTCTCAAATGAGTCTGCTTTTCGAGGAACCCACCCATTGATTGCTTCTCCAGCCACTGCAGTCAGCCAAGAAGGCCAACCAGCAATTATCTGTGCTCCCCTTTCCCCGTTTGAAATACTTGTTATCCTAGTAATCCTAGGTCCTACACTCCTTGCTTCAATGGTTGATAGCCTCTGCAACTGGGACCTAGAGGGTTCCTCAACATCTCTCACCACCTTCTTCTCTCCCTCATCAGAGGAAACAGGGGTAGAGCCGACAGCATTTTCAGGATGATTGGATATCAATCGTGCAGTAGAATCATTGCCACCACCATCTGCCTCCTTCACCGCAGAAACTACATGTTTAGAGGTTTTGGTTTCCTCCTTGTGCTTGTCTTTTACGTGGTTGTTTTCTACATAATGATGGGCTCGGGTTCCTTTAGAGCAAATGCAACCCATAATTCCAATTTTAATTCACGACAGTTTCCTGTTTCCAAACAGGAAACTGCAATAGTTATGGAATTCTCAGTACAGAACCTGTTATCTCCAGAATTGAAATCCCTCGGCATCAAATCAGCCACAAGATTCTTCAAACGAAACCATAATGCAAGGATTCTAAATTTTCCTGGTGATGAGTCTCCGAAGAATCACTGAATTCAATATTTCAATTATTGATGGTTTTGTCATAAATGTACCGCTATAAACATAAATTCCCGGCAAAATCCAATATATACGCGGAACGTGAAAAGAACCCAGATCCCCAAATCAGAGGAATGAAGAAAACCCTGCAAAAAAAACCATAAACCTGGACAAATTCAGAGATCCAGAAACCCTTTGCTGCAAATCTTGAGGAACCCGGACCCCAAAATTAGAGAAACTACATACCAGCAACGAAAACAAACGAAAATGTGGATCCTTCCGATCAAAACACCCAAAACAGAAATATCGGGGAAACGAAATGGGGAAGACTTAAAAACAGAGAAAAATTCTTTGAAATATGGAGTGAGAATCAATGGAGTGGGTATTCAACTGAAAACCCAGATAAGGACAAGACCCAAAGAAGCGTTGCCAAATGTGTAAAGAATGTTGACAACATAGATAAGTTATTTGGACAATTGATGTGCGTAGGCGCATTGACGGGGAAAGAGAGAGAAAAAAAAGAGCATAGAGAAGAGAAGAGAGAGATTCACGGATCTGGGTGATTCCTGAAAATGCGAGGAGCCGAAGGATATTTGGGCTAAGACAGACGAGAGCAGAGAGCTCTGTCCATTGACAGTTAGAAACCAACTACTACCTGAAACCAGAGATAGAAATGGCACTGTGCTGCTCTGTCTTATACAAAGATCGAGAAAAGGGAACCCGAAAAATGTATAAAGTACGTGTCTTTTCTACACAGACAAAAAGTAGAGGCGACACAGAGAGAGAGAGAGAGAGAGAGAGAGAGAGTTCCTATGCATTGTGCAAAGCAGAGAGGGAAGCGGAAGAGATGGTGAAAACGCACCGTATTGGTGCAGTGTGCCACGTGTCCCCTTACTTTTGTGGGACCCAAGAAATAATCTTGGACCACATTCATGGGCCAACCGGCCCAGGCGAACTTCAGTTTTGCTCCAATGACAGTTGAGTCTTAACAAACAGTGATCTATCTGCCTGCTTCACTGGTAAACCAGAGTATGTTTTATTTTCTTTTTCTTTTCTAACAAATAAGACACCTGATATTGTGATTAATTTCTATAAAAAACAAAAAATTATCAATTTTTAAGAATATTTTATTAATTTTATTTACAAAATTATTTTCTATACTAATATCAAATCCCATTATCATTAATAATATGATAAATTACCAAATCCCAACTATGAACAACTTAAATAGAAGTGTAGCCTGTTATAAATTAGATGGAGGACTTTAATTTTGTTTTTTTTTAATGTTGTTATTATACTTTAATTATCTTAAACTTAATTTTTCTTTTTTAATTTTAAATAAATTATAATAATTAAAAAATATCAGATAAAAAATTAAATGAATGTACATAATAGTTAATGGGCCTTGGCCCACTAACTCTTATCCATTTAAAGTTCTAACTCAAAAAAAAAACATTTTCTTTTCTTACCATTTTCTACAAATTACATATTTCCATTATTAAACCATATTTTAAAGCTTACTCCACTTCCATTAGAACCCCTTTTCATCTACCAACAAAAGTCTATGTGAATTGGCTTTTCTTGTACATACAACTAGGATGAACGAAGAAATAAGAGAAAGAGATGGAGGAAACAGTGTATAAAGATTCTAAGGAATGGATGAGGTATGAGCTAATGTGAAGAGGCAGGTGAAGAGAAAGCAGGATAATTAAATAGCAAAGTAGAGGTCGTAGGGGAAAAATAAGATAAGTACAAATTTTGTGTGTGTTTCTGAATGTAGTTTTACTATGATATACTATGCAACATATTAAAGTATTAAGTCATTCTCTTTATGTTTTTTAATATATTTTTATTATGGCATATTGTATAATACATTGAAGCATTAAGCTGTCTCTTGGTATGTTTTTTAATATAATACACTATGTAGCACATTAAAACATCATAATATTTATATGTTCATTCTAAACATGTTTTTTTTTGTAACATATTAAGCGACATGTTATTGTAGGAAATTTTTCTTTTTACCGGAGAAAACCTTATCCCCCTTTATAAATTCATCCAACATCATTTCTTTAATATATTTTTATTTATAAATATATTATTAAAGAAGTTCAAATATATTATGGAAAGTTTGAATCTTCAAAATGCAAAAACTACGAAAACCAATCTTTCTCACAATAAAGAATACAAGTAGTCAATGACTCGCAATTTTTATCACAACTTTATAGTAATAAAAACACAATAATTAGTTGTAATACCTAGATCCAGAATTTGGTCCGGAATCAAATTTAAGTATAAAAAATGAATAAAAAATTATTTTTAAATCAATTTAAACTTAATTTTATTAATTAATTGAAAAAAAAATAAGTTATGGATGTAATTGAAAGTAATTTTAGAAGAAATGAGTGAAAATTTGAATTCGGAGAATTTTTTGAAAGAATAATTAGAAACAAGAGGTTAAAGTACAAATAGAAAAAGTTCAGCCACGTAGGACTGCCCAGTCAGTAGCCTCGACGAACCAGAGAACGTTGCGTGATAAGGCACGCTGACATTGGTGCCACGCAGGAGGTTACGCGGGCGATTCGCATGCCCCGCGATCGGACGGCCCAGGATCGATCCTGCGCACGTGGATGACCCAGATTTGTTTCCTCATTAGGCGCGATTGGATGACCGAGATCAATCGTGATGGACGGTATAGATTCGTTTCCTTATTAAGTGCAATTGGACATACGAGATTAATTACGATGGACGACTCAGATCAACGCGAGATGGGTATAAATACTTCATATCGCATGAGAACCCAAACCCTAGCCGCTAGTTCCCACCGAAGAAGAAGAACCAAGCGCTAGAGAATGAGGCTGACCACTAACCATCGTCGTACCGGAGCCACCATCGGCCGCCAAAAAAGATAAAAATTCCCCCTACCTGCTCGAAATTCGATTCTAAGTACCTCTGTGGTTAAATCAGAGCAAAAGGGATAGTAGGTGAGCCAAAAACTGCGGGTAAAGCCCGACGGAGCCACCGTGGCCAAAATCCCAAAATTCCTCCGATGAGCCCCTTTTCTAATTTCTGTTTCATGCAATTTTTTGATCATTGTGTTCACTGTCATTTTCTATGTATGTTAGCCGAATAAGGAACTCCAGCCGCAAAGGAGGACCGGCAAAGCTGCCGCACCCAGTGATCCCTCGCCAATAGGTTCGGTATTTTTTATGATTTTTTGGCCAACTAAGGCCTCTAAATGTATTTTTTTGCAGGGATACGTGTCAAGTCAGTCAAAATCAGCCAAAATCAGCCTGACCGAGGCGAACTCCCACCGTGAGCGGCATCGCCGTGCTGGAACCCCAAATTTAGCCATAAAGAGTTTTGGACATCGATTTTAGATTTTTGATGTATTTTTATGTACGTGACAAGTGTTTTGAATTCTGTAGAAAAAAATTCAGGGAACCCAGTGTACCCATTAGGAAGTGTGGTAGATAGTATGACGTCTCGAAATACCGATACGAGTAAGGATCCTTCACTTTAATCTCTGTTACAGTAAATTAGGGATTAACAATGTATAATTTTGTGTTTTTGTAAAAAAAATAGAGAACTCTATAAATAATTACAGGTCAGTAGTTGAGTCGAAACCGGTTAGTTCACAATTATCTTAATTTTCTATTTATTTTCTTGTACTGTCCTACTCGCTTGATTTTCATATAGTACATATTCTTAATTTATATTTTAATGGTATCATCAACTTATATGGTTATTTTGGTTATGTATCGTCAGCATGAATGTAGTTTAATTGATCTGTGGATGTGATATGAGATATTGGTATGCGTTTATTGGTTGTTTGTTGATAAAAATCTGTATGTGAAAGACATGTTGGTTACCCAAGAAAAGGGTGGACGGGCCTGGTACATAGGGAAACCTACCGTGAACGTTACCTCAATCGGATGGGTTTAGAAAGTCCCTTCTTGAAAAGGTTTGAGAGATATGGTTTACTCTTATACCGAACGGGGTATTGAGATAATGAAATATTTAGCACATATTACCAAACGGGGTATGGAGATGGCCAGTCAATTGTAAAATTAGAAATTGGGTTCACGAGTAGGGATGACATCCCTATGGACTCCTAAGGGTACCAGTAAGCAGGTAAGAAAGGAAATGTATTATCTCTTATTCTC